GTGTAGACAAAAATGAAAAGAAGTTATGTATCTCATAATTGCCACATTTAGAATATAAGATTGCCAGTATTAAAACTTAGATACAGGAGTTATTTCTATTCAAAGATTTGAAAATCTACTGAATAAAGCATCTATGAGAATAGTCATGACTTTCAAACCAATCTTTTAACTCACTGGTTTATAAGTCATCAACTCAGTGTCAACCTGGGATGGGATGTTACTGGCTCGGCCCGGTTCTATAGAACCGGTAGCTCCGAAGAGCAGCTGACATTGAACTGGTTCTCTCTGAAGATCTTCTTTTCTTCGGTTGGGCCCACGCACCCTCCTTGGCTCTAAACTGTCCTTTATTCTTACCTTAGTTGCTTTGCACAGCACAGCTGAGTGTCACACGTCAGCAGGAGATGTGATGGCTTGCAGGAGAAGTTGTTTTGCAAGTACTATGCACATGCGTGCAGCTCACCGAACTAGTTGTTATGCTGGTAGGATCCCACCCCTGGTGTCAACTCTTAGCAATGATATAATCTTCATTAGGATCTGTTCCAATGGTGTACCTATCATCATAATAACTTAGTCTACCACCCTGTTTGTCATTCTCCTTTTCTTTTTCATTATACTTTTTCCAGCATTCCCTTCTCCAGAGAGCTAGGGCTTCCACAATCAGTCAAAGTAAAGCAATTTGTGCCTTGAGTAAGACCTCTGTGATTGCTCTGCTTGATGATCCATTGGTTTGTTTCCTTGGCTGTCCATGACAGTTTCAGGAGATTTCACAAGACTAAAAATTCAGAAGAGCTAATACTCTTTCTATCGTGCTTCTTCAAATTCCAACTGCTTGTACTATTCTGATCTTTTTGACCTCTAGGCTGCCAAGGTGCAGGATACAGTGGTGGTGGGGTAGTGGACTGCAGAGCAGCCAAAAGAGCAAAGATGAGGGGAATTGAAGAGGAGACTAAACAGACAGGGCAGGAGAAGTGGGAGGTCCTGACCTAATGACAACAACCAGGACTACTGAAACTGATATTGCTAAGCAGTGCCGTCACATGATGTTTTACCTGATTACATCACTTAGCCACCAAAATTCTGGTCCAAATAAGGGTTATTAAGTGAGGACTATCTGTAAAGTGGGTTTTTAAAAATCTTTTTATACATAATATATGTAAGTAGGCATTAGAAATGTGTACCTCTCAAGATAAAGCTGCTATTACTTTTCTTGGGATTGGAAAACTGTCCAGAACTTTCATGATCTCATTAAAAAAATTGGTTTAAGGTGACATGTATGCCCATCCCACACACACCCTTGTTCCCTTCCCCACTACCTACCATTAAAAATAACCCTAACCTCAACAATTTTCTTTATTTTGGAATGATTTAAGAATCTGTAAATCAGATTGGGATTGTTTGCAAGGATAACTAATAATGCAAATATAAATTATATATTATAAATGTAATATAAAAACTACCCTATTTTGAGAAGCTAAATCAGCACTATGCTGTGTTACAAATTAAGTTGTGTCAACAAATAAAATGTAGCAGCGTAAGTTCCATCTTTTCTGTAACATTAGAAAAATGTTGTGTAGAAGATAAAAGTCACAAATTTACACTCCTGTGATTCAGTCCAGCCCCCATGAAGCAGCCCTAATATGACTGGAATTTTGTTTCTTACAAACACAACCAGGAAGGAGGTGCCAGAATTCACTAACTCACCAGGTGTTGTTTAAATTTCAACAAGAATTTATTTGCATGACTGAGTGAAAAGGCTTCTAGATATCCCACCTGTAATTGGAACTCTTCCCTGCCAAATAATTAAATTTGATTATTAAACTGTCAACTTGATCCTAAAAATCTATACTGATTCAGCTGTTATATACTGCCTTTAAATCACAATATTGCCTGATTTTACACTACCTAAATTGCTATGAAAAGTAACTATGACTAAATTCATCAAAGTGTCATGGAGCTAATATTTATTCTGTAAATATTTCCTGAAATAAAGATGCTTTATTTTGAAAGCAAGTTGTAAATCTTACTATATTTATCTTGATGTGCTTTTAACTGCTGGATTTCCCCTTAGAATAGAAATTTTAAAAGTAGATTATTTCTCGCTGGTCTTCAATTATTAATCTAAAAACAGGTGTCAATTTAATGAAAAGACCAGCACACATACTATTAACACTTCAGAATATATTTTGTTCATGAAATATGATGTAGAAATTGATCCTGGAATATATACCTACAACACTGTTGTAGTTTCTAAACCAACCAGTCAAACTTACTATCATCTTAAACAAATAGCAAAGAAGCATTACAGTTTCATTTTAAAATAAAATCAGAGATATACAGGCTACATAAGACTATATAAATCAATGTAAATTGCAAAATGAAAAGGGAAACCAGTACTCTTTACTTTCTTAAACTTCCTACACTTCTGGCAAAATGTCAAACAAAATTCTGCTACTTGCCATATGATTTAGGAGTCTTGATTTGCAAGTAAACAGCATTCATAAAATCATCATGAATACCTAGAATTTTTCTATTAAGGAAGCAATCATGGGTTTTTAAAATCAGTCAATCATGTGAGAAAGACACTTTACATTCACTGTTAGAACTTCAATTATGGAAAATTTAATTCGTCAAGTTACTGCAAATAATTATTACCGTATTCTGGTAATGTGCACACGAAGGCTGATTAAATATTTGAAAAATCTAATTCCAATATGATTTAGTAAGATGACTTCCAATTTAAAGAAATGTCTTGAAATTGTTCTCAAAGGAACAAGCTATAATAGAAATATACCTTAGGAGCTATATGTTTTAATTAGTGATGTTATTTTCACTGGACTTTAATTTTGTAGATATTAGTCTGCTCATGAATTCATGACATTACTTAAAATGCCAGTATTTCTAAAGAACTACAGAACAAGACAGATGCTAAGTAGCATTTATTAAAATAAAATTATAGTAAGAATACAATTTTAAAAATGAGTATTAAAAAGTGTCAATCATATCAGAATCAGAAGCATTCTTCCCCTCCTGAACAAACATTTTATCTTAGGAATCTAGACATTTCAGGGAGGTAGAGCATTCTTGACATAACTTTGCAGAACCAGTCATTGGCCTGTAACTAACAGTAATACATGATATAATCTCTTAAAGAGTCTTTTAACACTGAAACAGTCAGTGCATGCATTTACAATAAGCTGTTATGTGATTTCCAAAATGCATGTAATTGCAGTGAATATTTACAAGGTTATTGGAAACAATGGCTGGTATCTAAAAAGCCATACCAGGAAGGGTTTCTCAAATGTCCATTCTAAGTGCATTTTTCAAGCCCCGTGAAAAGCTGCCCCAAATGTCACCAGACAGGCATAGAGAGAGAGAGAGAGAAATACTAATAGAGAAAATAAACGCAAGCTTAATTTAAGAAACTTTATGATTGTTTAAACTTATCAAATATTTAAAACTGTTACCAAAGTATCCAATTTATGTTATTAAGTAACAATAGTGCTTTGTAGGATTCCGGGAAGAGAATCTTACCAAAGCTAACTTTCTTTTAATATTTCTTGGAATCTATTTACAAGGACATTTCATCAGAAAACAATTCAAAATGGTCAGATACTTTTCTCTATACTTTTATGACTATTCTGATTATTTTTAGAAGCAAAAAGAAAACAGCTTTACACTTTTAAACTTCTATTTTACATCCAGTAATCAGCATGGAAAGTTTTATTATCACTTTTCCACTGAAAAAGAGGAACTCATTTGATCAAGACTTACTCAGATATCACCCCGCGCTCTCTCTCAAGAAGAGAGAAATTCAATTCTCAGCTTTTAGAATCTTTTAGAATAGTCTGTAGTCCATGTTTGTAACTTCTATATGATTTGAAATACATTCATTAAACTTTATTTAAAGAAGCAATTTCATTAAGCAACACATTTTGTGAAGAACTTGATCTACAATTTCCAAACAAAAATCTACAGTGCCTTCTGTTACTCTTCATACATTACCAGGAACTGAAAAAATAAATGTCAGCTCTATGAAAACCAATACAGAAGCATGCATTTTATAAACATTAGGAAGCCAAAATTATCTAGCTTTAAAGTGCGATGAATACCCATACCAGTAGGTCAAACCAATTCACTCAAAAGAACATACCACCTAGAGTAACTTAGTACAGTAAATCACTCCTAACATCAGTAGTAACTAGTACCACGCTTAAATGTTTAAAAATAATCCCAGGCCTAGAACATTTACCAAAGGAACCTAGCAATTAAGATGTGCTGCTTTTATCGATGTAGATATGTTTACCTACACCGGACCTCTCTGTGCTCAAAGGTTTTGCAAGAGAAAAGCAAATAACTTTTCATTTCTGCAGCACCACGAAACTGGACGAACAAACCTAACGAGAATCTCTTTGCCTTTCAGTTTTAAAGGCCGCATTTCCCCCCCAAAAAAACCTCACATTTCCGGATTGAATAAGGTCTCTCCTCCTTTCCTAAGCACGGAGAGGCGAGGCTCATGGGCAAAGAAAGTTTTCCTGGATCTGGTTTACATAGCTAACGATGCTCGGCTGTCCCAGCACTAAAGGGCAAGGAGAGGTCCGGGGTCGCCCAGGACCGCCTCTCTCGTTTGGACCCCCGCTTAACAGGGAATCCGGCACCGATTCCCACCTCGCAGTTCCCCGATGACGATCACGAAGATGGCTTAGAAACCCCCAACTGCTGTGGGGAACGCCGGGAACAAGAAACCTGCGTCTCTTCCCTCCGCCCAACGGGGTTAAAGAGGCCATCCGCAGAGCACACCCCGCCGCCCAAGACGCGCTTCCCTCGCCTAACCCCATGACCAGCGGCTGGGAAGGCAGCGTCCTTGCCCCGCCTGGTCAGCCTAGGCCTCGAAAAGCGAAGAGGAGCGAAGGATGCTCCCGTAAGACAGGCTCCGCTCCGTTCCGCGCTGGGCTTGGTCAGCTGCGGCCCGCAAGGCCCGAGCAGACCCGACGCTTACCCACCTTCTTCCCGCGGCGAAGAGCGGCCTCGGCCTGCTGTCCCTGAAAGGTCGGCTCGCTTTCAGACCAGGCCTCAGCCGACTAAGTCGTCGGCCTCGCTGGCCCCTCCCTCGCCCCGCGGTCCTGGCTGTGCAGCGACCCGTCCCCCTTCGCCGTCGCTCTTTCTGTGCTCTTCCTTTCGCCTTCTCTTCCCTTCCCAGCCCGGCGGCGGATACTAACGACTGACGAGCAGTGGCGGGAAGGGAAAAGAAGCTCGAGCCCTCGTCGGAACGCGAGCTCGCTGCTTCCCTCTGCGGCGCGGAGGGATCAGAGCGGCCACGGTGCAGGCCGGCCGCTCTTCACGGCCGGCCAGGCGGCATTCCTGAGAATTAATTCAATGGCAAGCCGGAAGGGAAAGGCGCTGGACCTGGGCAAACTCTGCCGTGGCCTTCGGTAGTGCCAGTCACAATCTGAACTGAAATTCAAATATTTCTCGATTTTATCGATGTATTTAGCAACCATGCGCTATTTAACTATTTAATCCTGCTTCGTTTTCTGGATTTCCACAACACCCTGCACCGTAAATAACGGTGTATAGTCCGAGCTTCTTTACAGAAAGCTAGGTTAAAATAGTTTGTTCCTTGGTATGTCATGAAAAAGTATTGACTCTGTTGTTTGTCCGTGTCATATGTGGGTATATGCATACTTTTTATTTATTTATTTATTTAGTCGTGTTTATTAGTATATAGGAGGAGCTGACCCTTTGAGAGCTGTAGGCAACGAAACTTCATTTTAATGTATGCCGATTAGTGTATATTCAGAGTGACAAAAGTTATTCTAAGGTAACCCTGCTCCAACACACCAAGATTGCAGAAAGAACCTTTCTCCCATCTCAAAATTAATTGGGTTGTGCCCATGCGATACCTTTATAGCCAAGATTAATTGAACTGTGGTTTACAGAATTAACTATCTCTGTTTCTATAATGTTTCTATAATGGCAACTTCAAATATCAACAAATAAATGCTCTGTCTTACATATTGGCAAAAAAAATCAGAAAATAAAGTACAAGCTGAATAGTCAAGACCATGTTGATGATCCAAACTCTGTCAAGGACTTTGGAGTACTCATCTCTAATGATCTAAGTGCTAGAGCCCACTGTAACTACATAGCCAAAAAGGCATTAAGAGTTGTTAACCTAATCCTACGTAGCTTTCTCTCTGGTAATATCACACTACTAACTAGAGCATACAAAACATTTGCTAGACCAATACTTGAATACAGCTCATCAGTCTGAACCCACATTACATATCTGATATTAACACAGTTGAGAAAGTCCAGAAATATTTCACAAGAAGAGTTCTGCACTCCTACTTGTTGCAGAGTTCTCTCCTCCTCTACTTGTTTTCTAGACGTAGAAAACCTAGAACTACGCCGCCTTCAGTCCAATCTAAGTATAGTATATAAAATTATACATTGCAATGTCCTACCTGTCAATGAATACTTCAGCTTCAACCATAACAATACAAGAGCACGCAATAGATACAAACTCAAGTTAAGCCGCACCAAACTCGATTGCAAGAAATACGACTTCAGCAACAAAGTGGTCAATGTCTGGAATACTCTACCTGACTCTGTGGTTTCTTCCCCAAACCCCAAAAACTTTAACCTTAGACTGTACTATTGACCTCACCCCTTTCCTAAGAGGTCTGTGTGTGCATAAGCACACCAACGTGCCTACCGTCCCTATCCTATTGTTCCTTTTTTATTTTTCTTATATGTATCCATTTCATGTATTCATAACTATGTTTATACTCATACCTGTTATCTTATAATCGCTTGACAAAATAAATAAATAATACTGAGCCATTCACATAACATGCTCAGCAAACGGTGTTTGGCTAGTTTGCATTGTTGTGTAGTTCAAATCAATATTTAATAAATATTTGGGGAAATGGGTCACTGGGACTTCAGGAGGAGAAAAGTTAAACTTTAATTGCAGCTTAGCCCACTATCATTGCTTTTTTCTTTTTTTTTGGCTGATTGACATAGCAGCATAAGGTGGGGTTTCAAAGGTGCACTTTTGAAGTTTTCTTTGCTTCTCAAGAACTAGGTGAGGTTATTTCTTTTTCACCCTGGTGGCAAGACTGCAGAAAAAGTGCCTTGAGCTACATGTAGCTTACAAACTCAACAGGAAGATACAGGCTACTGAGCATATTTAACTAAAGACTAGTGCCAGTTACCTTACTGGCTCCTTCTTTGATGATCCAAATATAGGATTGCACCTTGTCTCAATCTCATAGCTATAATTTTTGTGGATACCTTTGTTAGGAGAAAGACAACTGGAGCATTCATTCTGTGACTTCAAAATACAGTAAAACATGATTTTGTCTAAGGAAAGCTTTTCTAAGCAGGCTTATTTTAGCCTCTTGAGACCAAAGCTGTGGTTTCTAATCTAACGTTTCCTTCACTGTGTTGGTGAGAGACTAACAAATTTTCAAGCCAATATATTAAGGCAGTGTATCCCTCATTTAAAATAATACTAAGTTGTAATTATGTTAAAACTTTCAAGTTTCAACAGATGGTTGTACCTGGAACTGAATGGAAAAAGGTATGTACTGTGCTGTCTTTGCCAAATTCATTCTCTCTAGATGTGACTGGGTTTTAACATAGAGAATTGTAATCATAGCTAGCCTGTCTAGAAATTATTAAGTTGAAGAAGGGCATACTAGATTCAAAAATAATTTGTGGGTATCATATGAATATTCAGTGATAATGTTCAAACATAACCCCTAGATATTGATCTTGAAATTATAAGATCAAAAAGTTCAATCAGACAGAAGAATGCTATATTTTATTTCTTCCGCAATTTAGTTATGGCCCAGCATTTAGATTTTCTGCAGAAACTTGGAAACTTTCTAGATATATTTCTTTTAATGAATCACCAATGCTTTGTTTTGGAAGATAAACCATTACAACAATTATACTGAATCAGTCTAAGGTTGTGTATAGTCCAATATATTCTACTCCCAAGTAGCCTATCAAATGTTTATGAAAACCACCCACATTAACCAAGTGTTCCACTACTAAAGTAACAACCCAACCTTCCACAAGAGGAACTATGTAGGAACATTATTCAGACAGGCACAAAGGCACTGCAGCAACCTGGAATGCCAGAAAAAGGAAACAGATCACTAGGACAACATTTTCCAACAAAATGAATGTTCATGCCACTTTATCAAAAAGTCCCTGACCCACTCAACCATACATCAAAAACATGTCAGAAACAACAGACTATTACAACCCCATGGCACCACTGTAGTATACAAATCATCTAAAGCAGTGATCCCCAACCTTTCTTATGCCGCGGCCCGGTATCCCCAACCTTTTTTATGGCGCGGCCCGGTACCGGCATTAGCTGGGCGCCGCCATCTTTTTTTGATGAAAAAGTGCTTCCGGTGACCTCACCGGAAGCACTTTTTCATCAAAAAAAGATGGCGACACCAGCGCTTCCGGTGAGCTTTTCCGGGTAGAAATGGCTTTCTACCCGGAAAAGCTCACCGGAAGCGCTGGCGCCGCCATCTTTTTTTGATGAAA